CGTGTACAATTGATGTATGGAACAAGCTATGTATACCTTGTATGAAAGAAAGTGGTAACATAAGCATGCTTGTTCTTACAACACGGAAGTTATACTCTCATATAAAAAGCATCCAAGTGAAATGAATTTCTCATTTACTTTTTTTGCCCATAGAATGTCTTCTTTAAAATAATATTTATTGACATTGACATCCCATGCCCCATAGATAATATTAGCATCTGGTATTCTTAACATAGAGGTCAATGTCACGTTATAGATGAACTAAACATGGATATTAATGTGACATTTGGATTGAGATGGTAGAATGTTGGAAGAACTATTTTCAAAATTCTATTTCCTGGAATACCTGACCCATTGCAAGCCTAAATTCATGAGAATGATTTTGCCTCAAACGATTTCAAGTGGAACGCTTATGATAAAGTAGTTGGAACAATAAAACTTATTACAAAATGATATGAAATGACTAACAATTTTTCGAAATGTATTCAGTCTAAATAACCTACTCGTTCTGGTTGCTTTTAATTTGATTCTAAACTGTAGAACGTAAAATAAACAATACAATTGGAGTAACGTCGACGTAACATTCAAAGTGATCAAAGAATTACTTAACTTGATTAACATGGGTGACATTTTTATCGCACCCTAAGGTGCTTTATTGTAATCAGCCGGGCGGTTGGGAGGTCGGACAGGCGGTCGGGCGGGCGGGCCGGGCGTCCCGAATAATCTTGTCTACAGGTTTCCAGCTAAACAGTTTGAGGGATTAATTTGAAATTATCAGGGATGTTTCCACCTATGAAAGTTTAGAACTGATTAGTTTTTCGGCATTCTTGGTAAATGTTAAGCGGCGATTTTGAATTTTCCGTCCTAAAATCTTGTCTGTCAAGGCTTGTCTACAGGTTTCCAGCCAAACCGTTTGATGGATTCATTTGAAATTCTCAGGAATGTTTTTACTTAGGTAAGTTTAGAACTGATTAGATTTTCGGCATTCTGGGTAAATGTTAAGGCGGCCATTTTGGATTTTCCGTCCTAAAATCTTACCTGTCAAGGATTGTCTACAGGTTTCCAGCCAAACTGTTTGAGGTATTCATTTGAAATTATCAGGGATGTTTCCACCTATGAAAGTTTAGAACTGATTAGTTTTTCGGCATTCTTGGTAAATGTTAAAGCGGCGATTTTGAATTTTCCGTCCTAAAATCTTGTCTGTCAAGGCTTGTCTACAGGTTTCCAGCCAAACCGTTTGAGTGATTCATTTGAAATTCTCAGGGATGTTTCTACTTATGTAAGTTTAGAACTGATTAGATTTTCGGCACTCTGGGTAAATGTTAAGGCGGCCATTTTGGATTTTCCGTCCTAAAATCTTGTCTGTCAAAGGCTTGTCTACAGGTTACCAGCCAAACTGTTTGAGGGATTCATTTGAAATTCTAAGGGATGTTTCTACCTATAAAAGTTTAGAACTGATTAGTTTTTCGACATTCTAGATAAATGTTAAGACGGCAATTTTGGATTTTCCGTCCTAAAATCTTGTCTGATAAATGTTAAGGTGGCCATTTTGGATTTTCCGTCCTAAAATCTTGTCTGTCGTGGCTTGTTTACAACTTTGATCTTAGATCATATTGTAGTAAAATGAGTTTCTGGAGTACAGTATTTAAGCTTCGAGTATTGCCAATTACAAGGTTATATGAACTCAAGAAGTGTATCACTTGATTCAGGAAAATCTGAATTGTAGAAAAAAAGCTGATACACTGTGAACTATAAATACCTTAAAACGTTGCTCTTGAGGGTAGTTTTCAGGTTTCATGGAATTGATTAGTTTTTAGGCAGTCTGGGTAAATGTTAAGGTGGCCATTTTGAATTTTCCATCCCGAAAAGTGTATTCTGTTCAAGGGTGCGATTCTGTTCACCGTGTGGCTTATTCTAAATACTTTATAAACTCATAGATCTGAAACCTGTGCAAGTAAACATTTAACATTTATTTGAAGATATGGCTGATGTTACAACAACAGTAGCTGACACAACTACAGTGGCTGACGCAACCATGGCAGATACTACATCAGCAGATGCTACAACTACAGTGACTGACACAACTACAGCTTATGCTACAACAACAGTTGTTGATGCAACAACGGCTGATGCTACAACAACAGTAACTGACACAACTACAGTGGCTGATGCAACTACGGCAGATACTACAGCAGCTGATGCTACAACTACAGTGGCTGACACAACTACAGCTGATGCTACAACAACAGTTGCTGATGCAACAACGGCTGATATTACAACAACAGTTGCTGACACAACTACAGTGGCTGACGCAACTACGGCAGATACTACAGCAGCTGATGCTACAACTACAGTGGCTGACACAACTACAGCTGATGCAACAACAACAGTTGCTGATGCAACAACGGCTGATGTTACAACAACAGTAGCTGACACAACTACAGTGGCTGATGCAACTACGGCAGATACTACAGCAGCTGATGCTACAACAACATTAGCTGATGCAACAACGGCTGATGTTACAACAACAGTAGCTGATGCAACAACGGCTGATGTTACAACAACAGTAGCTGACACAATTACAGTGGCTGAAACAACTACAGCAGATACTACAGCAGCTGATGCTACAACTACAGTGGCTGACACAACTGCAGCTGATGCTACAACAACAGTTGCTGATGTAACAACAGCTGATGTTACAGCAACAGTTGCTGACACAACTACAGTGGCTGACGCAACTACGGCATATACTACAGCAGCTGATGCTACAACTACAGTGGCTGACACAACTTCAGCTGATGCTACTACAACAGTTGCTGATGCAACAACGGCTGATGTTACAACAACAGTAGCTGACACAACTACAGTGGCTGACGCAACTACGGCAGATACTACAGCAGCTGATGCTACAACTACAGTGGCTGACACAACTACAGCTGATGCTACTACAACAGTTGCTGATGCAACAACGGCTGATGTTACAACAACAGTTGCTGACACAACTACAGTGGCTGACGCAACTACGGCAGATACTACAGCAGCTGATGCTACAACAACACTAGCTGATGCAACAACGGCTGATGTTACAACAACAGTAGCTGGTGCAACAACGGCTGATGTTACAACAACAGTAGCTGACACAACTACAGTGGCTGACGCAACTACGGCAGATACTACAGCAGCTGATGCTACAAGTACAGTGGCTGACACAACTACAGCTGATGCTGCAACAACGGCTGATGTTACAACAACAGTAGCTGATACAACTACAGCTGATGCTACTACAACAGTTGCTGATGCAACAACGGCTGATGTTACAACAACAGTTGCTGACACAACTACAGTGGCTGACGCAACTACGGCAGATACAACAGCAGCTGATGCTACAACTACAGTGGCTGACACAACTACAGCTGATGCTACAACAACAGTTGCTGATGCAACAACGGCTGATGTTACAACGACAGTAGCTGACACAGCTACAGTGGCTGACGCAACTACGGCAGATTCAACAGCAGCTGATGCTACAACTACAGTGGCTGACACAACTTCAGCTGATGCTACAACTACAGTTGCTGATGCAACAACGGCTGATGTTACAACAACAGTTGCTGACACAACAACAGTTGCTGACGCAACTACGGCTGATGTTACAACAACAGTTGCTGACACAACTACAGTGGCTGACGCAACTACGGCAGATACTACAGCAGCTGATGCTACAAGTACAGTTGATGCTACAAGTACAGCTGATGCTACAACAACAGTTGCTGATGCAACAACGGCTGATGTTACAACAACAATAGCTGACACAACTACAGTGGCTGACGCTACTACGGCAGATACAACAGCAGCTGATGCTACAACTACAGTCGCTGACACAACTTCAGCTGATGCTACAACTACAGTTGCTGATGCAACAACGGCTGATGTTACAACAACAGTTGCTGACACAACTACAGTTGCTGACGCAACTACGGCTGATGTAACAACAACAGTAGCTGACACAACTACAGTGGCTGACACAAATACGGCAGATACAACAGCAGCTGATGCTACAAGTACAGTGGCTGACACAACTACAGCTGATGCTACAACAACAGTTGCTGATGCAACAACGGCTGATGTTACAACAACAGTAGCTGACACAACTACAGTTGCTGATGCAACAGCGGCTGATGTTACAACAACAGTTGCTGACACAACTACAGTGGCTGACGCAACTACGGCATATACTACAGCAGCTGATGCTACAACTACAGTGGCTGACACAACTACAGCTGATGCTGCAACAACAGTTGCTGATGCAACAACGGCTGATGTTACAACAACAGTAGCTGATACAACTACAGCTGATGCTACTACAACAGTTGCTGATGCAACAACGGCTGATGTTACAACAACAGTTGCTGACACAACTACAGTGGCTGACGCAACTACGGCAGATACAACAGCAGCTGATGCTACAACTACAGTGGCTGACACAACTACAGGTGATGCTACAACAACAGTTGCTGATGCAACAACGGCTGATGTTACAACAACAGTAGCTGACACAGCTACAGTGGCTGACGCAACTACGGCAGATACAACAGCAGCTGATGCTACAACTACAGTGGCTGACACAACTTCAGCTGATGCTACAACTACAGTTGCTGATGCAACAACGGCTGATGTTACAACAACAGTTGCTGACACAACAACAGTTGCTGACGCAACTACGGCTGATGTTACAACAACAGTTGCTGACACAACTACAGTGGCTGACGCAACTACGGCAGATACTACAGCAGCTGATGCTACAAGTACAGTTGATGCTACAAGTACAGCTGATGCTACAACAACAGTTGCTGATGCAACAACGGCTGATGTTACAACAACAATAGCTGACACAACTACAGTGGCTGACGCTACTACGGCAGATACAACAGCAGCTGATGCTACAACTACAGTCGCTGACACAACTTCAGCTGATGCTACAACTACAGTTGCTGATGCAACAACGGCTGATGTTACAACAACAGTTGCTGACACAATTACAGTTGCTGACGCAACTACGGCTGATGTAACAACAACAGTAGCTGACACAACTACAGTGGCTGACGCAAATACGGCAGATACAACAGCAGCTGATGCTACAAGTACAGTGGCTGACACAACTACAGCTGATGCTACAACAACAGTTGCTGATGCAACAACGGCTGATGTTACAACAACAGTAGCTGACACAACTACAGTTGCTGATGCAACAACGGCTGATGTTACAACAACAGTTGCTGACACAACTACAGTTGCTGATGCAACAACGGCTGATGTTACAACAACAGTTGCTGACACAACAACAGTGGCTGACGCAACTACGGCAGATACAACAGCAGCTGATGCTACAACTACAGTGGCTGACACAACTACAGCTGATGCTACAACAACAGTTGCTGATGCAACAACGGCTGATGTTACAACAACAGTAGCTGACACAGCTACAGTGGCTGACGCAACTACGGCAGATACAACAGCAGCTGATGCTACAACTACAGTGGCTGACACAACTTCAGCTGATGCTACAACAACAGTTGCTGATGCAACAACGGCTGATGTTACAACAACAGTTGCTGACACAACTACAGTGGTTGACGCAACTACGGCAGATACATCAGCAGCTGATGCTACAACTACAGTGGCTGACACAACTACAGCTGATGCTACAATAACAGTTTCTGATGCAACAACGGCTGATGTTACAACAACAGTTGCTGACACAACTACAGTGGCTGACGCAACTACGGCAGATACTACAGCAGCTGATGCTACAAGTACAGTGGCTGACACAACTACAGCTGATGCTGCAACAACAGTTGCTGATGCAACAACGGCTGATGTTACAACAACAGTAGCTGATACAACTACAGCTGATGCTACTACAACAGTTGCTGATGCAACAACGGCTGATGTTACAACAACAGTTGCTGACACAACTACAGTGGCTGACGCAACTACGGCAGATACAACAGCAGCTGATGCTACAACTACAGTGGCTGACACAACTACAGCTGATGCTACAACAACAGTTGCTGATGCAACAACGGCTGATGTTACAACAACAGTAGCTGACACAGCTACAGTGGCTGACGCAACTACGGCAGATACAACAGCAGCTGATGCTACAACTACAGTGGCTGACACAACTTCAGCTGATGCTACAACTACAGTTGCTGATGCAACAACGGCTGATGTTACAACAACAGTTGCTGACACAACAACAGTTGCTGACGCAACTACGGCTGATGTTACAACAACAGTTGCTGACACAACTACAGTGGCTGAAGCAACTACGGCAGATACTACAGCAGCTGATGCTACAAGTACAGTTGATGCTACAAGTACAGCTGATGCTACAACAACAGTTGCTGATGCAACAACGGCTGATGTTACAACAACAATAGCTGACACAACTACAGTAGCTGACGCTACTACGGCAGATACAACAGCAGCTGATGCTACAACTACAGTCGCTGACACAACTTCAGCTGATGCTACAACTACAGTTGCTGATGCAACAACGGCTGATGTTACAACAACAGTTGCTGACACAACTACAGTTGCTGACGCAACTACGGCTGATGTAACAACAACAGTAGCTGACACAACTACAGTGGCTGACGCAAATACGGCAGATACAACAGCAGCTGATGCTACAAGTACAGTGGCTGACACAACTACAGCTGATGCTACAACAACAGTTGCTGATGCAACAACGGCTGATGTTACAACAACAGTAGCTGACACAACTACAGTTGCTGATAAAACAACGGCTGATGTTACAATAACAGTTGCTGACACAACTACAGTGGCTGACGCAACTACGGCATATACTACAGCAGCTGATGCTACAACTACAGTGGCTGACACAACTACAGCTGATGCTGCAACAACAGTTGCTGATGCAACAACGGCTGATGTTACAACAACAGTAGCTGATACAACTACAGCTGATGCTACTACAACAGTTGCTGATGCAACAACGGCTGATGTTACAACAACATTTGCTGACACAACTACAGTGGCTGACGCAACTACGGCAGATACAACAGCAGCTGATGCTACAACTACAGTGGCTGACACAACTACAGGTGATGCTACAACAACAGTTGCTGATGCAACAACGGCTGATGTTACAACAACAATAGCTGACACAACTACAGTGGCTGACGCTACTACGGCAGATACAACAGCAGCTGATGCTACAAGTACAGTTGATTCTACAAGTACAGCTGATGCTACAACAACAGTTGCTGACACAACTACAGTGCCTGACGCAACTACGGCAGATATAACAGCAGCTGATGCTACAACTACAGTGGCTGACACAACTACAGCTGATGCAACAACAACAGTTGCTGATGCAACAACGGCTGATGTAACAACAACAGTAGCTGACACAACTACAGTGGCTGACGCAACTACGGCAGATACAACAGCAGCTGATGCTACAACTACAGTGGCTGACACAACTACAGCTGATGCTACAACAACAGTTGCTGATGCAACAACGGCTGATGTTACAACAACAGTAGCTGACACAACTACAGTTGCTGATGCAACAACGGCTGATGTTACAACAACAGTTGCTGACACAACTACATTGGCTGACGCAACTACGGCAGATACTACAGCAGCTGATGCTACAACTGCAGTGGCTGACACAACTACAGCTGATGCAACAACAACAGTTGCTGATGCAACAACGGCTGATGTAACAACAACAGTAGCTGACACAACTACAGTGGCTGACGCAACTACGGCAGATACAACAGCAGCTGATGCTACAACTACAGTGGCTGACACAACTACAGCTGATGCTACAACAACAGTTGCTGATGCAACAACGACTGATGTTACAACAACAGTAGCTGACACAACTACAGTTGCTGATGCAACAACGGCTGATGTTACAACAACAGTTGCTGACACTACAACAGTGGCATACGCAACTACGGCAGATACTACAGCAGCTGATGCTACAAGTACAGTGGCTGACACAACTTCAGCTGATGCTACAACTACAGTTGCTGATGGAACAACGGCTGATGTTACAACAACAGTTGCTGACACAACAACAGTTGCTGACTCAACTACGGCTGATGTTACAACAACAGTTGCTGACACAACTACAGTGGCTGACGCAACTACGGCAGATACTACAGCAGCTGATGCTACAAGTACAGTTGATGCTACAAGTACAGCTGATGCTACAACAACAGTTGCTGATGCAACAACGGCTGATGTTACAACAACAATAGCTGACACAACTACAGTGGCTGACGCTACTACGGCAGATACAACAGCAGCTGATGCTACAACTACAGTCGCTGACACAACTTCAGCTGATGCTACAACTACAGTTGCTGATGCAACAACGGCTGATGTTACAACAACAGTTGCTGACACAATTACAGTTGCTGACGCAACTACGGCTGATGTAACAACAACAGTAGCTGACACAACTACAGTGGCTGACGCAAATACGGCAGATACAACAGCAGCTGATGCTACAAGTACAGTGGCTGACACAACTACAGCTGATGCTACAACAACAGTTGCTGATGCAACAACGGCTGATGTTACAACAACAGTAGCTGACACAACTACAGTTGCTGATGCAACAACGGCTGATGTTACAACAACAGTTGCTGACACAACTACAGTTGCTGATGCAACAACGGCTGATGTTATAACAACAGTTGCTGACACAACAACAGTGGCTGACGCAACTACGGCAGATACTACAGCAGCTGATGCTACAACTACAGTGGCTGACACAACTACAGCTGATGCTACAACAACAGTTGCCGATGCAACAACGGCTGATGTTACAACAACAGTAGCTGACACAGCTACAGTGGCTGACGCAACTACGGCAGATACAACAGCAGCTGATGCTACAACTACAGTGGCTGACACAACTTCAGCTGATGCTACAACTACAGTTGCTGATGCAACAGCGGCTGATGTTACAACAACAGTTGCTGACACAACTACAGTTGCTGACGCAACTACGGCTGATGTTGCAACAACAGTTGCTGACACAACTACAGTGGCTGACGCAACTACGGCAGATACTACAGCAGCTGATGCTACAAGTACAGTTGATTCTACAAGTACAGCTGATGCTACAACAACAGTTGCTGACACAACTACAGTGCCTGACGCAACTACGGCAGATACAACAGCAGCTGATGCTACAACTACAGTGGCTGACACAACTTCAGCTGATGCTACAACTACAGTTGCTGATGCAACAACGGCTGGTGTTACAACAACAGTAGCTGACACAACTACAGTGACTGACACAACTACAGCATATACAACAGAAGCTGATGCTACAACTACATTGGCTGACACAACTTCAGCTGATGCTACAACACCAGTTGCTGATGCAACAACGGCTGATGTTACAACAACAGTTGCTGACACAACTACAGTGCCTGACGCAACTACGGCAGATACAACAGCAGCTGATGCTACAACTACAGTGGCTGACACAACTTCAGCTGATGCTACAACTACAGTTGCTGATGCAACAGCGGCTGATGTTACAACAACAGTTGCTGACACAACTACAGTTGCTGACGCAACTACGGCTGATGTTGCAACAACAGTTGCTGACACAACTACAGTGGCTGACGCAACTACGGCAGATACTACAGCAGCTGATGCTACAAGTACAGTTGATTCTACAAGTACAGCTGATGCTACAACAACAGTTGCTGATGCAACAACGGCTGATGTTACAACAACAATAGCTGACACAACTACAGTGGCTGACGCAACTACGGCAGATACAACAGCAGCTGATGCTACAACTACAGTCGCTGACACAACTTCAGCTGATGCTACAACTACAGTTGCTGATGCAACAACGGCTGATGTTACAACAACAGTTGCTGACACAACTACATTGGCTGACGCAACTACGGCAGATACTACAGCAGCTGATGCTACAACTGCAGTGGCTGACACAACTACAGCTGATGCAACAACAACAGTTGCTGATGCAACAACGGCTGATGTAACAACAACAGTAGCTGACACAACTACAGTGGCTGACGCAACTACGGCAGATACAACAGCAGCTGATGCTACAACTACAGTGGCTGACACAACTACAGCTGATGCTACAACAACAGTTGCTGATGCAACAACGGCTGATGTTATAACAACAGTAGCTGACACAACTACAGTTGCTGATGCAACAACGGCTGATGTTACAACAACAGTTGCTGACACTACAACAGTGGCATACGCAACTACGGCAGATACTA